AAACATTTCTCATCAAGATGAATGCCATTCTAGCTCGATTAAATTCCTATTTAGACTGGAGATAGATAATTTTGGATATCTTTGTGGAGCCTCTGTGACTATTATTTGATAAATTTGCTTGCCATACAAACACACTCTGAATTTTCAGTCTCGCAGCGACGCCTGCTGGTCTGTAACAGAACTACGCAGGCGCGTGATATGTACATTATTTATGTGAAATGTAGTTGTGCACGAGTCGAGATGTTCTTGGTGTTTCCCGTTAGCTAGCATGATGCTAACAAAGCGGTTAATAATAGTGTGCTATATCTAGCTGAGTTCGATAAAAACAACATTACTCTATTATTGCACAATGCACACACACAACACTGACGAGCTGAGCAATATTTGGTATATTTGCGCCTCGTCCTCGTCGCTTTGGGAAAAAAAATGATTGACATCGCTTTGAACCAATCACATCGCGGCGTTTTTTACTCGTATGATTTTTGACCAATCGCTGACCGGGGTTCGCTGTTTTAGGTTAGATAGATCCAGCGAAGACTATATATAAGGGGCGCGGACACAGTCGAGGAATGTGCAGCATAAAACTCAGAAGCCATTTTGTGATGTGCCCGTTGAGAAAGCCTATGAAGATGCTGAAACCAGCGAACATGGTTACATTTCTGTCTGTTTCTCCCTCCGCCTCCTCTGTCTCACCATGGCAGCTGTCAACCGACGGGACACTAGCAAAGCGGGGTGTCGAGCTGTGCTCACAGGGTTAAAACGCCATTGATATGAAAGAGGAGAATGTCTTGTTTACTGTCTCTTCTGTCGAGACATGTAACACCGTGAGTCTTTTCCAGTCTGAAATCTTCCATCGTCTCTCACAAACCAACGCCTCCTTGGGTGACTTGTGTTAAATTCACTCCTTGTACCGGGGAGAAAGGGAGGCAGATCCGTGTTTCCAATGGCTTCTGTGAGCCTGGTTTCCAGTCCCCCAGCCCCTGTTCTTGACAAAAACATGACAGACTCTGAGCTTGCAGGGGATGAAAGGTCGAGTAAATATTCTTGTGCAATTCTTAATACGCTCATCTGTGCGTTTCAGTGCCGTGGGTGCTTGTGTTCACTGTTTTCTCTCTTTATTTTATTTTTTATGAATTGCAGACATTTCTAAGATTTCCTCCCCCCCTTCCTAAAATAATTCTTGCATGCCTTTTTTTTGTGATTATGAATATTTCTGTTCCAGACAGACTAGATTTCACATCAGACTTTTAATCATTTCCATGCACGGTAGCAGAGCTCATTTTTCTGTTGTGGTGCTGGGTTTCATAGCTTGGCTTCTTTTTCTCCTCCCGTTTGCAGGATGCCGTGCAAATGACGTAAGCGTCACGCCCATCTTTTTTTGTTGCCGCCCCCTACTGGTCACTTGGCAGTACTACAGATGGTTCATTCAGGGTCTTGGCTTGTGTCCTTGTCATTTGCTTGTTATAAGAGACTTTTTCTTTAACTCTGAGGCAGGATTCGGTTTAACAGGAAAAATCTGATTATTTACTTTAAATTCTGGACATTGTGTAAATGTACACTATTGTTTGTAGTTTATAGACAATATATATATTACACTTTGTAGAGTTACCTTTTTTTTCTCAACATAAATATCTGCTTTTGTTTTCATAAGAGTATGAGAGAATAGCTTTGGGGACCTTAGTTTTATCCAGGACTGTAGTTGGGAGGACGTCACAATGATGTGAAAAAAATTAGCTTCTGTCTGTGAAAACTGACCCTTATTATAATACATACTTTTCAATTTCATGGTGTTTCTGCTCCACAATCTCCACCTGGTGTGGGTTTTTAAGGCGGCTGACATGTTAGGAAAATACTTTAAGAACTGAAAAGTGTCCCATATGGATGTGAAACTGTCACGTCTACACCCTTCATGCACTGTTAATCATTTACCTTCTTATTTGATCGGATCACAGCCAGGTCAGGCTGCTGTTTGAGCTGTTGTTTTTGCTTATACACATTTGTGTTTCTGACTTTAAAAGCTACATTTTGATACCTGGATCATTCTGAAATCATAAGCAGATTCAGAGACGTGACTTGGTTTGTTTTGTTGGTTACTATGATACATATTATATTTGGTCTGAATCCTTATTTTATGTAATTAAATAAGGAAATTTTCATGTCATAAAGAGGAAACCTCAAATAGTTTTTGAATACTGAGATTTCACAGCTGGAAAGAAACTAAAACTTTGCCAGCTCACAGGGAAAA